ATATATTTATTATATATTTTACTTTTATTTGTACCATTTTAGTATTTGGTAGATCACTATTTTAGCATTTAGTAGATACTATTTTACTAATTGTATTTACCATTTGACTTGCATTATATATATTTATTTTATATTTTACTTTTATTTGTACCATTTTAGTATTTGGTAGATCACTATTTTAGTATTTAGCAGATACTATTTTACTAATTGTACTATTTTAGTGTTTAGTAGATCACGAAACAAAATCATGAAATAATAACGTTTATTTTCATGGCAAAAATTGAAATTTATATATAACTTTAAGAAATTGTAATTCAGATTCATAAATGAAGCTTATTAACTGTTTTAATATTTATGTAGAATTACAAAGATTAGAAATTTCAAAGTAACATTTCCGGTATTAAATAGGAAATACAACTATAGAATGGTCATATGTTTCTTCGTCGACGAAATTAGACCTCAGAAACATTCGTTTAAAGAAGCTGAAGGAATTCAAGAAATAATAATGATTAATAGAGACCTATTGATCATCTTAATGTTTGCACAGAATAATAAACAAATTCCGAAACAATCTACCTCTTTCAAAATCAGAAACTAATTAAACAGATCTATAGTTTTTCTATTCACAGGGAAAATTGAAATTCGTTGTCGAGACATCTATTTGAAAAAAAAAGTTAAAGAAACTTAAAGAACGAAACCACAATCAAAACGGTCAAATGGTATTTTTTTTTTTTTTAAGACTCGGAAGTAACTGTAATAAGCGATGACTTATTAATCGTATCGATCATTTACACAGAATTACGAATATAACGAGCGATTCTGAAAACAAACGCCTCTGTCATAATCACGAAGTGACCATGCGTTTCTATTCACCGGGGAAATTAAAACTCGCGTAACGCGACAACGAAGCAATCGTGCAATCTCCGTGCATGTACACACACACATACATACATACATACATACATACATACATACAACATACATACATACATACATACATATGTACACGAAGGCGTGAGTTCATTTCGGCTTCGGCGGTGATCGTCGATCGCCGGATGAAGGAAATTTCCCATGCTGGAAACTTTCCTTTGTCTCTGGCCGATACACGATACGCGCGACAGAAGTAACATCGAACTGGTTCCTTGATTGCAACGTCACCGAATTTCACCGAATCGTGGCAGATTCCACGATTCCGAGCCATCTGCCGCCTGCAGCTTTCGATCGTCGCGATCGCGAATCGCCGAGCTGTTTCACTGGCGTTACGGATTCCACAGAATCTGGGATGCGTTTTAAATATTTACCGTGGTTGAAACCTGAACCGAGGATTCATGATGATGATTTATACATCCAGAGAAGAGGATCAGGAACGCGGAACGAGATTACGTTACGCCAAAGAAGAAACGCGTGTTATCGCCAGCTCTCCGCGGTTTCCGTAATCTTGCCGCAACACCAGTTGTCACTGCTCTCGAAAATAAACATTGTTCACCGTGGTGAATAATGGGATTTTGAAATGGTAGATGGATGTAGATTTGATGCAGCCTATCGAAGATCGTGTCAGTATTTTTTTCCATACAGGATGTTTGTGACGTTTCAACTTTAATTTTTAATGAAATGTTGTTCGCGAGAGGCAAAGATATTTTGTCTCTCTCTCGTACGATGGTCTCTAAAAGTAGATGTACTTTTCGTCAAACTTTTCATCAAACAGGAGATTGATAACAGTTTCTTATACAGAGAATGTCGACAGACCAATAAATATAAAAGTGGTGTTTAAATAAATCGTTATTCTCCCTTTTGTCGACAAAATTTTTCCATACCTAAAATAATAAATATATTTGAGATTTGGACGGACTTTTTACACACTGAAATAGTAAAACTGAATAAAGAAAACCTTGCTCTGCGAGATCTTGAGAGAATAAGAGATAGACAGTCGATGACAGAACCTTGTAAGTCAGAAGACAGTATTAATGACGTTCTAAGAATATCTCACTGAGATGCTGCAATTTAGAACCATTCAGTCCTACAATAACTTCTGACAACTCTCGAGATTCAATCTTGAATAATGTATACGTGTGTATATACGTGTGTAGATACTATGAAATATGATATGATATGAAATATGATACGTGATATAATATATTCATTACAATATATTCGAATATAATGGATACATATAGGTACTATGAAACATGATATAATGTGAAATATACTATGAAATATGATATAACATATCCGATACATAATTTATAACATGTTATATATTCATTACAATATATTCGAATATAATGTAATATATATATAGATACTATGAAACATGATATAATGTGAAATATACTATGAAATATGATATAATATATAATATATATGATATAATATTCAATACGTAATTTATAACATATAATATATTCAGTACAATATACTCGAATATAATGGAATGTGTATATATATATATATATATATATATACATATAGATACTATGAAACATGATATATTGTGAAATATACTATGAAATATGATATAATATATTCGATGCATAATTTATAACATATAACATAATTTATAACATATAATATATTTAATACAATATACTCGAATATAATGAAATGTATATATATATATATACGTATAGATACTATAAATTATAATATAATATGAAACGTGATACATGATATACTATGAAATATGATATTATATACTCAAATATAATACATTTAACCTTCTTGCACAAACACTAACAATCGATTTCACTTCGTAAGTAGAAAAAGTGGGTATTGGTCAGCCACCGTGCCTCGAACTGACAAACGTAGCCGATGAAAACAAACGTTCGCAGTTAATTCTACACAAATCCGCGAGCATGCGATATCGAGTAATTAAATTCGGACAGGAACGGTTGGAAATTTCAATCAGAAGAAACGCGATACGCTCGATCGTCGAATTTTGAAGCGGGCGCGCTACTTTGATAATAAAATAAACAGGGCAGAAATATATCGGCGCGTTCATCGCCAATGGCGAGTCAGTTAACGGATTAATTACACGCGCGGCGGGTGAAATTTGAGGATTACGCCTCGGCTGAAATTCAATTCGTTGAAAAGTTTGGCGCGATTACCCGCGCGCCGGCTGCCACCGGTACGAGAGGCGAGTGTTTCGCTGGCGCGCGAGTCTGCTGGCGTCGCAATTAGCAGCTCAATGTGAGGGTAACACAGGTATCGTTGATTGAATGTCCAGGCTAGCCGCGTGTGCATTGTGCAACGAAATTCCCAGGTATAACATTCATCGTTTGCTCTAACTTTGTAAACAGTAATCAACCCGATAATAACGCGTTACGTTCGCGCGTCGGCTCTTCAAACATTTCGCTCCAACTTCGCGCTACAAT